TAAGGGGCAGTGTGTGGCTCAGTGGGCTAAGCCTGTGTACCTGTAATCAGAAGGTCGCCAGTTCAAACCCAGCCTTAGCATGTCTGTGGGTCATTGAGCAAGACCCTTAACCCCCAGCAACCTGTAAAAATATTTTCCCCACAGGGGCAATAAAGTATCAATTATTTATTATTAAATGGACATTCAGACCAATACTATTAAAAACACTATCTAGACTGCCAGTCTAAAGGCATGCAGGTGCATACAAACTATGGGTCCATAGAGACATTCTTCAGACTTAATGTACTGTTTTTCTTTGGGAATTTAAAATAGAGGTTTTTTATCAATAACATGTACAGTACTATGGTGAGGATTACTGGAAGGCCTGTCACTGTTAATTACGGGGTGATTTGGAGGTTATATAAAAATCAAAAAAGCAGGTTCACCTTAGGGTGTTTTACATCCAATAAGAGCAATTGGTCAATAGGTTATTCAACCCTTTTCAAGAACGGATCTTGCTCTTTAGACAAATAACAAATACACCCACTGACTCATTAAATATTGATTTATACTAATAATTACAATGCAGACAATGATGAAAGCTTCTGTTTAATTGTTTATTGAAAACGGTGTCTCTTAATAATGAAGTACATTCCTTTTTCTGTGATTTAACAAACCATTACTTATTTTGTTTAACAATTTAAATTAGGCAGATCCCATATGCACCTGGTGTCAGAAGCGTAAAATGCTATTCCACTAAAAATTGCTATTGAATCCACGCAGTTTTTTTTACTGGACCCCCTGCCCCACACATGAAAATCTAAAGTTCCTCCCCATGTGGGACACATAAGAGGGAAATTCTCCCACATTGTGGAACATGAATTTCATGCCCTGTAGCTAGTGCTAATGTTAGTTAGCAAGATTACTGTGTGCCTTTGGCTAGCTAACCATTACTGCAACAAGGTTACATTTTGTGTTTAATGTACCCTGTCTTTTAAATTTGTATCCCACTTTGGCAGCTGTTGAAGTGACATACAACCATGTAAGCAACACAGTGTTTGTAT